TTAGGACAATATAAGAAAGTCAAGGATCAGATAGTAATTTGTTATCCTCTTGCAGGGGTGGTGGGGAATTTGTAACAGATTTTTGTTCATTCAGTCTGTTGTTTCCCATTACTGGGGCCCTTTCTTATCAGCTTGTGGGGTTTGAGTTTGAGAGAGGGGGAGGGAGTCGTGGGGTTTGGTGTGCTGTTTTGGGGGGTTGATTTCTTTTTTTCCCAGTAAAAATGGAGAAAGGTTTATGATTTTCAGTTTCTGGATTCGTGCTCTCTAGTTCTAGAAGGAATGTTGGTGAAATTAAGTGAGTTTCTAAATAAAGCAGAAACATTTGACAAGTAAGCATTGCAAAATAGTATAATTTTATCACTTCAAAGGGCATGAGTAGGAATCCAAACCTGCTTTGAACTGGTTAACATGTAGGGCTTGCCAGCTAACATTGTCAGTTATTTTAAGACTGATAGTTTTTAAATTGAAAGTTTATAACAAGCCATTGAGTATTTTGTTTATATCTCCCCTTACATGGAATTAAATAAACAAGGGCATATTTAATTACATGAATCAAATATTCATTAGCCCTGTTAGCTTAATGGTTTTGTGGTTTGGGGTTTTTTGGCCCTGTTTGGAAAGCCTTAATTCTTGCAGACCTTTTAAGCTCTTAAAAATCCTGTCATTCCTATTTACCTGTTGTGGACTCTGTGGTGTTTGAGCATCTACAGAGCTGCTGGGAAACTGTCAGGCATGGATTTGCTAAAGGGCAGCCACTGTGGTCAGCTCAGAAATGGAAAATGACTTGCTGTTATGGAAATGCCACATACATGTGCCATGGGAGTGCCCATATTTCCAGTGCCCCAGATGACTAAAGAGTTGCTATGTATTAGTTTCTGACCAAAATTCAAACAGATGCAAAGATTATACGTTGCAAGTAGGGTTATTTAATTTGTAGTAAAATCCAGAGGATCAAAAAAAAAAAACCCCAAAAAAGTCTTTTCACTCTTCTCTTCCTCCTTAATGTGATACTTCAAAAAATATTTATTTAATGCAGAATTTGCCGGTGCTAATGAACATCAGCATCCAAGGATTGTTGAGGGTCAACACTACCATTTCTAATTAATTCCAGGATTAAAATTGTATAATTTGTCAAGATGAAAAGCAGTAAAGTAAAAGGTTACATGGTAATTAATTAGTAAGGGTCAAATAGCCATTAAAGGAGAACAGAAAGTGCTCTGTGAGTTAGAGGGGGCATTTTCCTTACTCTTTTATTAGAGGTTATTTTATCAGTGATACTGCAGTTGTGTCCAGGATGGTTTGTGCTTATTACAGATCTGACCTATTTGTATTTCTAAAGAGAAATTTTCACAGGGTGTGGAGTTCCCAGGAAGTGGAGCCAGCATATTTTTAAGATGTAATTTTATGAACGTGAGGAATTAGACATCTACTGTGGGGTGTTGGGAATGGCTTCTGAAGAGACTGGAGGTTCGGGGTTTCATTTTTGCCAGGGCTGATGGCCACAGGGGATCCTCCTTTTCCTCTATGCAGCACAGCATCTGCTGTGATCACCGATTACCTTCCTCCACCAAGGCGATTTTTAATTAGCTTTTTTTGTTGTGGTGGTGGTGGTGGGTTTTGGTGATTTGGGTTTTTTTTGGTCGTTGGTTTTCTTCTGTGGGTTTGTTTATTCTTTTTTCTTTTTCTGCCTACCATCTGTTGTAATAGCCACTGTCTTTGTCTAGTTGGCATTTGCCAAAGGACAAGTGAGAAACCCAAAATGGTACTTGTTCATGAACAAGTTTATATACTTCTGGTGAAATAGTACTTCTTTTAGTGCTCTAGGGGAGTTTGGGGATCATTTTGTAAAGGGTTTCTTGACCCCTTTGTAGAGGAAAAGCTGACCTCTGATTTTGAGGTGGTGTATAAAGTCAAGCCGTCGCTGTTGTAAATAATAGATTTGAGGAAAACCAAACAAGATCCAAAATGCAAACCAGCACCTGCCTTCAGGGGGCACAGGACACTCAGAGATGTTTGTGTGCAGGCAGAGGATGCAGTATTTATGGGCCTGCAGAGACTGAGTGCTTCCCACTCCAATGCTCTCCAGTAACTCTTGTTGCCTGAACTGGCTGGCTGTGGGCTTTTTGGATTGGTTTTGTTTTTAAATGTGGCTTTAGACTGTGAATTAAGAAGCTGCCTTTAAAAAGGTTTTTGAATTCTGAGTTTAATTCCCTTGTTTATGTTAGTCTTTCATTTATAGATCCAGAATAGATGGGGCTGCGTTCAGCAGAAAATGCTTGTCCTTAATTTCTGTGTAACTGAATACCAGCTTTCAATTCAGCTGAATTGGAATCCACTGAAAAAAGAGATACTAGTGTGGCTTTGTTCAGATTTACATGTTTTAGAGAGAAAAGCTGGCAATATACTCAGTTCTGCTCTCCTTACTCTTTCACAATCATTATTCCCTCTTAATTGCAGTACCTTATGCAATAAATAGACCCGTGGGTTTCAGTAAGACTGCTTAGGGAACTGAATTGCTCAGCATTAGCAGAAATGGAAAAAATGAATAGTGCTTTTAAGAAGTGCAACATTTGGCAAAACGCTCATAGTTTATACATGTATCTAACATTAATTCTGTTTTGCTTACTTATGAATCTGTTTAAATTGTTATGGAAAACTATTGGTGAGAATTATGTTAATGATGCTTTTTATGATATCTGGTGTGACATTTGGGATCCTATTGATTAAATTCTACTTCAAAATTCTATTTTAACCTTGAAAAACAATTTTTATATTGCAAAATATAGCTTGAATTCATTAAGTTTTTGTATGAAAAGTAAAAAATATCTCTTAAATTTTACCAGTTCCATCAAAGGCAATCATATGGACATGGCTTTTGTGCACTTGAGTTGGTGGTCAGACCTGCTCAGTATTGCAGGCGTAGAAAAGGTTCCTGTTAAAATTGCTTTATTTCCCTCGAGTGTCCTAGTAGGAATTAACAATCCCTTGAGGAGATTTTTTTTAAAAGTTTTTTTCCAGATGTGGAGAAGGACCATGGGCATATCAGGAGAGAGACCTTATGGGCTTTTTTATGCTTTCTCTGCCCCTTCCTCCCTGACGTAGCTGGCCAAGGTCACCCTGTGTCTTGCAGCTGTGTTCCCTGTACATGTACTTACTGTGCTTTGCTGTCCTTGTGGACGTGTGCTTATTCCTTCAGTGCATGTGAAAAACATAAGAAGCAAAGGAAGAAAAAAAAAGTATTATAATCCTGTTAAGTAAACACCAGAAGCAGAAAATGTGTTTTGTTTTTGGTAACGAGTATAATATCAATATAACAGTTCTCTTCTGTTTTTAAAATCTAGACAAACACTGTGCTTTGTCCTATCTGTGCTGTTCAATAGCGAGACATATCATTTTAGGAATGGCATTTAAGCAAACTCAGCTGATTTGCTTAGATTTAAATGAAGATCAGCTCAGCATGAAGCTTGTTGGAATTGCTCCTTGTGGAATTTTTCTAACTCGGACTTTTAAATCTGAATTTGACTTTACCAAATTAATATTTTTTTTCTTTTGAATTGGCATGTTTAGGGAACTGCCTTTCTATTGGAGCTATAGCATGGCTCTCTCATTCCTTCACTCAGCAGAAGAAAACCAAAACAGAAATTGAGAGATGCAGGTGTGTAAAAACAAAGCAATACACAAAAACCCCAAAACCCACAAGCAACTAAACCAAAAAACCATACCCTATAAAGAAACAAAACCCCCCAAATCAAGTCTTAATTCAGAGGAGACCGACTTTGCAAGTGCTCAGAAAATCCACAGTGAAACTGGTGTCGTCAGAGCTTTTAACCCTAAAGCAGGGAATTTACACCTTGTGCAGTGTCATTGATTTGGTTGATGCTATGGAGCTAGCAGTACAGTTGCAATCTGCTGCCAGTCCAAATTGAGAACAATTAAGTAATAAGTTGTTTTGTGTTTTTTTCTCTTATAATATACAAGGATCACATAACGAGTTCACTGATAAACTGCATGTGTCTGGATATATGACTTCCCACCCGCCTCACAAGTAGTCACCAAAATCATTTCAGGCTTTAGAATTGGTTTTCATATGGGAATGGTATCAATGGATCAAGAATTTTTCCTTGGAAAAACAAGGAAAACAAGGTGGTCTGGCATCACCCACTTTTCTTTACCAAATGCTATTGCTGTAACCACTGTAACATTGCTTAGGACTTTAATCAAGTGTAATAATGTCTTAAACATAGCAGAAATAGCAGTTGTAGGTTAAAACAGTGCTTAAAATGGGGCTTGCATGTGGATGAGAATTCAATGATTTTTAAGAACCTGTTGTCATTCAGCTGGATAAACATGGAACTGGGATGGTGGTCTTTGAGTGTCTGTAATGCAAGCTATGTAATTCATCTCTAAAATGTACCAGAGACACGCAGTTTATAAACTGGATGAATTTATGGATTAGTATTTGGATCTGTGACAGCTTCATATTTTAGCAGAAGAGTTAAGAGGAAAAGCAAAGTCTTTGAGGCATGGCTCGACACCGTTTAAACTTTATCGTTTAGAAAATTGTATTGACTGGGCAGCTTAAGTGCTTACTGCCTTTAAGGACTTTGTTCAAATTTCCCCTGTGCAAAAGTGCTGAGGCAGTAGCTACTCAGGCAACCAATTTATGAAAAAGGCTCTGTATGGAGGAGAATATTGTGTGCTCTTCATCTCTGCAAGTTCCTCTGCTCTCTGGAATGGTTGGTGCTTCTCTAGGAGGCATTCCTCTCATGCTTTTGTTCTATCTTTTTTCTTACGACATGAAAGAAAATCCTTTGTTTCATGTGCTCTCCAGAGTTTCTTTCATCCTTCAAAGTGATGTTGCTTACTTTGCAATGAAACCATGTGTATGAACTTGCTTTTGAGCTGTAAGGCTAAGTATTGTTTTTGTTGGTGGGGTTATAATGTTTGCATGTTTACCACGCATCGTTGATTGTTAACAGTAATGAAGTAAATAACTGAAGGATTTCACTTATTTCCTTTTTTCATTCTTCTGTTTTTCACAGGTTCATTGCTAAACCATGTGCCTTAGGCCTTAAAGTCCAAGCCAACGGACCACAGAAAGCTCAACCTAATGCTATCCTGGAAAAAGTTTTCACAGCTATTACAAAGGTAGAGTATTTAACTGAAGTATTTACCTATAAAGTGATATACAGCACTATAAACCATGGCTGAACAAAACAAAGCTAACTGGTAAATGTAGTGCTGCATTTTTACAGCTAAAATCAGAACATGGAAATGTCAGGGTTGTTATTGTATGCCAGTTGGAGCAGTTGTGCATCCCTTCATGATGTCTCCTGTAAGCTTTTAAACAAAACGAAGTTGTTCTGCTGTGTAGGTGCCATATGGCCACCTGCTTTTTTTTGCCGCTTATCTTTTAGAAATTTCAAAAAAATCATTGTGGCTTCTTTGGTGGTGGTGGTTTTGGTTTTGTTTTATTTTTTTCCCCTCCTATAAATAAAAGAGAATTGTGAGTCAGTAAGATTGGCCTTACTGTTTTCCATGAAATTTCAAAGCTACCACTTTTAGGGAAGTTGCCTGAGCATAGGGTGCTGGTGCCTTGCTGGTGTCCTAGCTGCTTGTGTTGTGATGAATGCCCTTTGAAATTTGGAGAGATGGGGTGGCAGAAAAGCAGGGGGAACATGAACAAATAATGTTTTGAAGCTTGCAGACTTTTTTGTACAGTACAAGTGTTTTGCCACTGCTGATGTCTTTGTCCCTTGAACTCTCACTGTATGACATCTCAACTAAAACTCTGTCCATGCTTCTGAAGCATCCTGAGCTTTTCCACAGCAGTGAGCAGTGATGAGATATCCTTTAGCATCTCCTGAGGACCCCAGTGGTCAGCCACTTTGTAGTGGGAAGGCCTGTGGAGGCCTGAAGGGTGAAGTTCTGCAGGAACTTCCCAGTGCCACCTCAGCTTCAAGCTACAGCTGAGCGCACCACCGCATCAGACTGAGCTTCAGAGAGTACTGAAGTCATAGGCAAAGTTGGCTTCACTGTCAGGAACAGCAAAATATGCTGTGGATCTGTCTTGCTTGTGTGTCCTACCCTATCCTGAGATAACTGTGGCACTTGTTGTGGTTTATGTCCCATTTTCAGGGAGGGAATCACACATACCTTGTTTCTAAAAGCTGCAGCACATGTGCTCTGGCCTGGACTTAGCTAGAGGAAGAATGGGATTTTTTATTTGTATTTTTATTTTTTCTCTCAGAATCCGCTAGTACAGCACAGGGCCTGGGTGTGTGAAGTGATCTAACAAATGTCTGTGAGTCACGCTAGGAGCTGGCACACAGCTCCCAGCACCCAGCGCAGGGAGACAAGTGCCAAGCACTCCAAAAGAAAGTATCTACTTTCCTGTGAGGTTTTGGTAGGGCTGTTTGGTAGCTGCTCTCAAGGAAACTGTCTGATTTACCTAGCTGTCTTCTTTTGAGTCACATGCAGCAGCTCTCTCTAGTTAAACTCTGAAGAGCTGCCCCAATCATTTGATTCTTCTGAAGTTACAGAGAATAGCTTTTCTTAACCTCCCATTGATGTAGTGGCTACTTTGGGTTGACTAGAAAACCTTCTTTTTTTCTGAGATAGATGGCAAATATTTTACCCTTCTCTCATCCCCTCCCTTTCTTTTCCTTCCTGTCTTTTCCTGGAAGCCAATAGATGAATCTTCAGCTTGGCAAAAGCTTTGCTGTTTTACCTCTTGGAACATTCAAAAAAGTCTTTATCATGGCAGCTGTTGCATCTCATTCAATGTATGCAACTGGCTTGCAGAAGTAAAGCTGAAACTCTAGAAAACAGATTGTCCAAAAGCTTTTTCTATTTCTTTTAAAAAATAATGTGATCAGGAGAAAATAGATAAATAGTCCTCATGCAATTTATGTGTAGAATTGCTGCATGTTTGGAAGCGTGGCCTGTACTGCTCTTCTCCATATAGTAGTCAAACTATAGTCTTTTGCCTTACATCTGCACTGGTTTACAGCCACTCTAATGGAATGAGAGTTCCACATTTTCTGCTTTGGAGGATAATTGTGTGGAGCTAATTCTACAGGAAAAAAAAAAATCCTTTCTCTCTGTTGTCAAGGTGATTTTCCTTTTGAAGTTGCCGCTTTGTTTAACAACCTCATTTTTTCTAACATGAACATGTACAAACATGGGATATATCTTCTTTCCATGTCTGTCAAACACTCTTCATTACTGCAGCAGTCTATAGGACAAAGATCCTGATGCAGAGGGTGTAGCATGTGGTCTGTGTGGGGGGTGTGTGTTTCAAAGCCCTGTTGTTTGAGAAATGCATGGCTTTTTATCCTTACTTCCCAAGTTTCAAGCAAGAATTCATGCCATTGTCCTCCTTAGTTTTCTGATTAGTAATAACCTGCATGCAATATTACAGAATATGTCCTTCTAGATTAATAATAGTCACTGTAAACTTATTTTGATGTGGATCTGTCAGCAGAAATTTCTGTGAAAGTAATTTTATTTCTATGTATCCATGTGTCTGACAGGCAGCCTGTAAGACATCAAGAGGCAATTACAGTGGTTCACTGCAGTTGGGTAGAGACATAATGTTTATCCTTCTCTGTTCTGTAGCATCCAGATGAGAAGAGGCTGGAGGGCCTCTCCAAGCAGCTGGACTGGGATGTACGCAGCATTCAACGTTGGTTTCGTCAAAGACGCAACCAGGAAAAGCCCAGCACTCTTACGAAGTTCTGTGAGAGCATGTAAGGATGCGCTTTCTCTTCTTGAGTCTTGTTGAGCCTGTGTCCCTGGTAGTTTCCTCCTTTGTTCTTCATGGGTATTTTTGTAGATGTGTAGAAAATAATGCAAATTGATAGAATATAACTTCTTGAATGAGAAAACCAATCTCCTTTCTTCTGAAGGAGTCACATTGTACTTTCCGTGTACTTTCAATGGTGAAAAGCTAACAGAAATCAGGTGGTTGTGATTCTGTACTGTCAGGGTGCCAGCCTGATCCTTCAAGACAAATCGCCTGGTGTTAGGGTTGGAATCTATCTCCACAGCACCACCTTTAGCTGTACAACCTGACAGAGATCTGAGATGGAGGAGTAAAGATAAAAGTCAGTTGGATTATTAAATCCCATGTATGTTTGTTCTTATCCTAGGCTTGTCCCCTTTACTAGCCCATTTTCTCAGGTGCACTGAACTCAGAAGCTAAAGGCTCCTATGCTTTTTAGGAAGTTATTTTTCACCTGCCAGGGCTTTCTTCTAAGGAATCTTTCCCAGCACCCAGCTGCTCTTCAAACTGGTTATCTACATAAAGGTCATTTTTCTAATTAGACTCCATAGGTTTTAGTATCTAAGTTATGTTTCCATGCCAGCTGGATATAGAATCATAGAATGGTTAGGGTTGAAAAAGACCTTAAGATCACCTAGTTCCACTCCCCTGCCATTGGCAGGGGGGGCCTTTCCCCAAAGCGTGC